TATATTATAATATATGTATATAATTATAATATATTATATTATATGTTATAAGATATAATTATATTATAATATAAATTATTATAATATAATATAAATTATATTATAAATATTAATATTATAATATTTAAGGGTAATGATGGAAAAGAAATTTAAAAGAGCTTGAAATGTACATTCTTCTCATATGAGAAAGGAATGATGATTCACTAATTTGATGGAAAAGTCATTCTATTTTAAATGGTCATTTCTTTTCTTAAAACTAACCTATTATAAATATTAATATTATAATATTTAAGGGTAATGATGGAAAAGAAATTTAAAAGAGCTTGAAATGTACATTCTTCTCATATGAGAAAGGAATGATGATTCACTAATTTGATGGAAAAGTCATTCTATTTTAAATGGTCATTTCTTTTCTTAAAACTAACCAAACATAAGAATAAACTTTGATTCTTTTCCATTCCCCCAACTAAACACACCCTTAGAAGAATGAATAGATTAGATTAGATATGTTGGACAGATTAGATAAAGGTGGAACATGATTCATGAAATTGAAAAAATAATTTAGAAATCATAAATAATTAAACGGATAAAAAAAAAAGAAGTGATGAAGTTGACACATGATCACAGATGCAACGTACGTGGAAGAAAACAATCTTATACTGCTATTTCATATGTTAAGATAAGATAAGATTAGGTGATAACAGTTCATAGGATCGCATAAAAATACTATTTAAAAGGAAAGCATTCGGAGAAAAATGTTTTGTTGGGCTAATCATAAAAAGAATATGGATCATAAAGATAACACAATTAAAGGAAAAAATGACAAAAGAGCGAAAACCAACAAATGGAAAAAGATGAACCTAAAATAAAAATGCAACTGGACTTTCTTCCATACGGAGTGTGTACAGTCGATGCGTCAGAGACAACTGATTAGTGAGAGATTTCGTCATGTACAAGCTCTCAAGTCGAAGCCACAAACCTCCAGCTAATGTTTGTCGGCGATTTCTCACAACACTTTGTCAGACACTGACAACTGACTTGCATTGTGTGTCTGAGCTAAAATGTTGGTCATCGACCATTGATTCTAGTAGAGCTTCCTTAACTTTTACCACCACAAGCAGCCCCTGTCGAACTAGAAGGCCCGCATCTTTAAACCCTAAAGACTGAAGTCATTCCTCCCATCAAATTTCTCAATTTCAAATTCTGTCGTCATAACAGAATAAATCTAAAATAAATTGTCAGAAACACAGCACAAAATTTGAGGACTAGCAGAGAAAAAACTAAAAGAGTGAATTTAAAATAGCCCACAAATCAAGAAAACATGAACCAACGGCTCCGATACCGGTTGTTAAAAATTCTATTAAAATATGATGGATTTTGGGATAAAATAAGAAATAAAATAAATGAAAAATTCACAGAAAAATTTATGTGGTTCGAATTTTAGTTTACGTCCACGGGCAAAGACGACAGCGAATTTTCATTAGCAAAAAGAACAAGAGGATTAAGAGTAGTATTTAAACTCTCTCAAAACCCAAAACACAAATAGACACAAAAAACTCTCACAAAAGCACTAAGAGAGTTTCTTTCACAACACACCCATTAAACACTTAGAAGCTCTCAAATTCTGATGCATGAAGTGTTCGAAAATTGGCCTTATATAGGTCAGCTCGAGTATTGGATTTTTAACCCTTGTCATAATCTTGGAAGAAGGCAAAACCTAGCTTTCAAGAATATTTACAACAACATTGATTTGGTTACACTTGTAATAAATTTGAAAGAGGCCAAATCCAAATTTGATACTCCAAGAATTTTGTATCAGCAAGATTATCTCACCATATGGCATCATTAAATTGATCTGGCTAATTTTGAGCCATATTTCAACAGTAGACAATAACAAAATAAAAAGACAAATAGAAGAAAAGTTGATTCAACGATTAAAAAGAAAAAAGTCCCATATACATTTCTCACTCTGGGAGCCATTTTACATTCAACAAGGAAAAGAGAGAGAATATAGTATTGATTGTCTACTTTACAAAATTGTGTTGATGAATGTTCCTAATCTTAGTCAGTCTCATGAAGCATTCAAGCTTGAGATGAGATCAATAAATGCATGTTCTGTACAGGGAATTGTTAGACCGCCCATTGGATGATCAAATGCGTATTCTTCTTCTCTTTGAATTAGCAAGTCTTGGAATGAAGGTTGGTTGGGATAGGACACAGGAATCACAAACCGCTTCTTCTCAATCTTTCCAACATAAACTGCAAAATGGCCTCTTGGGACATCTACTGCCATTGAATCTGCTTTGTTTGAGTTCGAGAGAGACCGTCGAAGAAGTTTCTTTGCCGGAGCTTCTCCGGGCATACGGAAAACCATTTTTCTGTATGTGTGTAAAGGAGGAATAAAGAAATTTTAAAGTGGAAGTGGAAAAGAAGGAAAGGTTTTCTTTAAGTTATGAATTGCCTTGCTGATGAATTAACTCCAATTGAATTCTTATTTATATTCAAATTTTGAGAAGGATTTCTCCTGTTGGCTTTGAATGAGTTGTGGAGCAAGACTTCTGGTGGCTTGATGAGGAATCACATGGGCTTGTCTTGAACTCTTTATTATCATTCATTTTTCTTTTGTTTTTTATTTTTATTTTTAATTTTTAAAGGCACAAACATGTCCCATTTGTACCTCCTCTTTATATGCCAACGACTAACTTTGCAGGCAGGGAAACATGAAATGTATGGTTAAGATGCAATTGGGTGAGGTCTAGTGATGATAAATATTAAGTGCATGCATTATTGACACCACATGTATTCATCCACCTATAGTCTTGGTTTATTTATGAGAGCAAAAAAAAAAAAGTTTATACGTTGAGAACACATATTTGACTATATATTTCAACTAATATACATAGCATATATGGACCAGCTGGTCTGTTGGATTTTTTCAGCAGAAGTAGAAAGCTTGTCTTTTTATGCATACTTACTGTAGTACCGACACTTTCAGCATTTAGCTTAGCAATAGTTATCTTTTATTTAATTTCAAGTGCTATGTATATTTATTAATTTGATTGGCACAAAATAGAAGACCATAGAAGTATGAGATGGAGAGATTCATTGGACCAGTTTAAGATAAGCATGTGGTGGCATAAGTAGATAAATATGACCTAATGTGGCTCATGGATAGATAACAAATTAAGAAATTGAATTAGATTAGTTGAGTTGAGTTGTAAACCTACTAAACGATTTCTTTGGACTTACAAACGTCTCAGTTTACCATATTGCTTACCTCCAACTTGAATGGTTCTCATATGCATAGAAACATTTATCAGTGAAAGATGTTACACTGTATTATTGTTGAAATATTGAGTTGACTATTGTAATTGGTAGTTGATATTCTTTCGTATTTTTAGTGTGAACAAATTTTCTTGTATAATTATAGGACATTGGTTGCATAATTGTAGAAAGATAAGTATAGAAGTCAACTCATAACAGTCTTTACTATGGAGTGATGAGATCATTATATATCAATGTACACATTCATTATAAATAGCAAGCTGAATAAATGAAAATACTTTGTTCGTAGATATAGACATATTGTCAAACGATGTTAAATCTTGTCTTCTTCTCTTTTATCACTATTTTATCTTTTATTTCTCATTTTCAAGTATTACATCTCTATTTCCTCCTAATTTATCATGAGATTGGAACCATAGTTGAGTCACTAGTCTGACATATCAGTTTAGATGTCTTAATTTAGAGATTTTAGTAAAACTTGGTCCGGGTGGTGGACTATAGAAATTGCTTTATTGTCCTTTAAATTGAGACCCATTTTCCAAATCAGCGCCAAAATCATCTGTTAGGATCCGTTAACTTGAGAACTTGTTTGGTTAGTGGGCTAGTAGAATTAGTAGGAATTAGTATAAATAAAGGGCTGAGTAGCTCACTTGAGGTATGTTGTGATTTTGAGAGTTTTGGGAGACTGAGATTAGAGAGAGTGGTAGTCTCTCGAATACCATCAAAATTAAGAGTTTTTCAGAGTACTCAAATACTCTAGTCTATCCTAAGCTTTCTTTAAGTTTTTTTCTTAGTTTGGTTGTAAATTCTATGAGCTAGTGTTGGTGATGATTAATAAAACCACTTTGATTACCTTCTATTCTTGTTCTTCTGTGTGAAAATTGAGCTGTGACAACCAGGTTCCTAACAATTTGGTATCAGAGCAATCAATCGATTCCCGAAAAAAAAGAAAAGAGTAAATGAAATCAATAAAAGAGAAAATGGAATCAACGCTTCAAAGTTCAAAGTGTGAAGCAGATCATTCAATTGTTAGAGGAGCAGGTCCGCAAAGCATGGGTGGCTAAAAGTGGGATAACGCCGGTGAAGGATAGGTGGTCCCAACTAGAAGAACAATGCCGGCGAACAACGACGAATGCGTTGCGATCTGGTTGGAATGAGTCACGATCATATCTGAGCACTGAACATCGGGTTTCGCGATCTGATTGGAATTACGAAGCAAGGGTTTCAAACTGCAGAACCATGATAGAGTTGGAGCGTCAACGTCGACGAACAACGCCAGATGGGGCGCAACCAGATCCGAAATCGCACGAGGCCAAAGACCGGGAAAAATCTTGGCGATCTGGAGCTAGATCGTCTAGATCTAAAGTGAATGGCAGTAGATTTGCAACAGAATTGAGCGTCGCAAGGGCTACGCTTCATGATTTTTGTACGTCTGAGTCTGATTCCAGCCGGATTTGGAACGGGTCTCGCGGTTCCGGTGCCGTTTTAACTCTCATTTGGGTGCCGTTTTGGCTGATTCTGACGAGTTTATGGTAGTGTCTTGAAATCCAAGCGTGCTCGGGGATGATTATACAATGAATTGGACTAGGTCTTGTGATTCAGTTATGGTTGGGGCAGATTCCGGTCGGGTTAGGACTGGGTCACCTGATTCCGGCGAGATTTAGGTGGATTCCGGTGAAGGCAAGACCAGATCTTCCAGTTACGGCATGTGCAAGGCCAATTTCAGTGCTGTGGTGGTTGGACGTCACACTTCCAGCAAGATTTGGGTTAAGTTTGACGCCATTGGAGCTGGGTCTCGAAATTCTAGTGAAATTTGGGTCGGGTCCTCAAAATGTGAAAATTCACGAAGTGATTTTGGGGCTGATCCTTGGGTTTTTCGATCTGATATGGGCAAGGTGAATAGAGTTTTGCCATCTTGTTGGTGGAGATCCTAGGGTTTTGAACAGGAGAAGGGGAAGGTGGCGTGACATGCTGTGGGAGAACCGATCGGATCGGCAATTTCAGCGAATGAAGATGCCATTGTTCACCGGAGAAAATGCTGACGAGTGGGTCTTTCGAGCTGATCGTTATTTTCTGTTGTATAGGTTGACAGAAAGAGAGAAAGTATGGGCTGCGGAAGAGGCCATGGAGGGTGATGCTTTGGTTTGGAATCAATGGCAGGATGGTTGTTGGCTGTTCTGCAATTGGGATGAATTGAAAGCTCATTTACTACAGCGTTTCCAATCAATACAAGAAGATACCGTCTATGGGAGTTTCGTGGCGAAAGGGCGAGCGGATACCAAGGCTGATTATGGACGACAAATCGAGGTACTTGCTGCACCATGGAAAGAGATATTAAATGCAGTTTTTGAGAGAGATATCACTACGAAGTTGAAAGTCAATAAAGAGCATGAAATATGAATTTCAAGTGGACTACTTTTGGCTCACACTAAAGCTGTTTCAGATAAGCAAATTGATGCTCAAAAAGAGTTTCCTTCAAAGAATCTCATCGGGAAGGTGGACCAAGGCGTTGCAAATGAAGATGACTTTCAAACCAATGCCAAGAATGAGGGGCTTCAAGGTGTGTGGAACAAGATCTTAATGACATCAAACTTTTCTAAGGATATTGCCATAGAGAATGTGTTTGATGCACCAGTGAAAGAAGTTAAAGAAGGTGGAGGCCATTCTAGTATTTTAAAAGGTCTTATTGGTTCGGTTTTTAGCAATTGTGGGGGTGTTGACAAAGGAATGGAGAAAGTACACTTGCATCTTCCCTCCATTGTTGGTGTTTTGAAGAACAATAGTGAGGCAAAATTCTTGGATACGGTGGAGTATAAACTACAGCAAGATAAAACTGGTGAGAGGTGACTAGTATACATGATTTGATTGGGATAACCAGCAAACTCTTGCATTCTTATGGGGATAAGTTTTTGGATGAACTTCTTGGATTAGTTGATTTCACTACGGTTCACAATTCAGGTTCCAAACAGAAGTGTGAACTTGGCAAAACATGGAAGTTATCAAGAAGATTTGAAGTAAGTTCTGTTTGTTTCATGGAGCTCACAAAAATCTTTGTTCTTTCCCATGTTGATGTACTATTGCAGTTTTATTTTCTGGTTTTCACCTTGAGGACAAGGTGAATGTTTAGGCGGGGGGGTAATGTTAGGATCCGTTAACTTAGGAACTTGTTTGGTTAGTAGGCTGGTAGAATTAGTAGAAATTAGTGTAAATAAAGGGCTTAGTAGCTCACTAGAGGTATGTTGTGATTTTGAGAGTTTTAGGAGACTGAGATTAGGGAGAGCGGTGCTCTCTCGAATACCACTAAATTAGGAGTCCCCAAAGTACTCGAATTCTCCATTCTATCCTTTACTTTTCCATTTAGTAGTGTTTGGTAGTGTAATTGGAGATTGGCTAGTGGTTTTCAATAAAAGAATTCCCTTATTTCTATCTAATTCCTCGTCAATTTCAGGATTGATATGTGTATGTATGGCTGTTTGGTTGTGGAAAACCTAGGTACCTAACATCATCCTTTTCTTGTAGCTTCAATCTTTCACATACCATATGTCAAGAAGATGATTCTATATAAAAATCTAATTAAGAGATAAAAGATCCAATCAATTAACTCATTGGAGAAAATATCTACAAAGTATCATTCTCAGGGACAATTTCTCTCTTGGTTCCTGAGGAAAAATATATACAAAGTATTGGCATTGTCTGCCCTACAAAATTGTAACAAAGATTGTTATTAGCAATTGTTATCTATTGGTTAATTACAAGGGATTCAAGCGAGCAATAAGATCGATGAAGGCATCTTCTCTGCAGGGAATAGTAAGTCCTCCCATTGGATGATCAAATCCAAATTCTTCTTATGATTGACTTAGCAACTCTTGGAATATAGGCTGGTTGAGAAATGATACAGGGATCACAAACCTCTTCATTTTGCTCTCATCGTCACCAACATAGACTGCTAAATATCCTTTAGGGACATTGGGTACCGGTGAAGCTGCTGGGCTTGCATTTGAGAGGGACCTCTGAAGAAGTTTCTTAGCGTTAACTCCTCGGGGAAATCGGAAACCCATCGCTTTATATGCGAGTAATCTAATTGAGGAAAAAGGAATAAGAAAAACGAGTGTGGAAACAAATTTGAGAAAAAGAGGCCGGACTTGGGATGCTAGTGATCTGAACCTTGTGAATGTGTGTATATAGAAGATAGTTAATAATAATTATGTATGTAGGCCAAAGCATGTAAAATTATTGACATAAAATGAATGGTGAAGACCGAAGAGGCATTTGGATAAGGGTATATTGAGAGAGACACAGGCAGTTGGGCAATCACATGGTGTTGTCCTTTCTACTGTGTCTCTTCAAAAAGCTAAGAAATAAATTCTATGCAATAATTAAATGAAAAATTAGGATGTATAAGTGTAACCCAATTGCACTTTTTTGTACTTTTTTGTTGTCAACACAGCCTCCTCATAAACTTTATTTTATTAAAAAAAAATGGAAAGAAAAAAAGGTAAATTGGTGGGAAAAGCATATTACATCCAAAAAATATATATAAAAATGGATAACAGACATGAGGGCAGGGGAACATATTGCTATGATAACTAATAACATGTAACATGAAAGTTGAATAGTGAGGATTACTGCAATTACAGAACACTTTGAAGATGTTGAATTGCGGGTATAATAATATAAAAATGGATAACAGACATGAGGGGGACATATTGATAAGCTGACCAAGTTCACTGCTTCTGGATATCTCCTTGACTTGTACTGAAGCTTTTTTGAGCGTAGAAATGTGCTCAACACAGTTTTCCAAGCTGCAGCCTCTTTTTTGGTGTCTTGAAGTGGTGGGACCTTATCTGTTTCTCAACATTTCACTTGCTCACTCCACTTCACATGATATAAGGTCATTTTACAGAAACTTTTCGTGTAATAAGCATTTAACCACTGAAGTTTGCTGGTAAAAAAAAAAAAAAAAAGTTTTAAGATTTTACGGTTGTTGAGGAATGGAAATATTTTTGGACACTCAGATTTCTTGTGCATATTAGATCACTTTGATATGAATTATATGATGTAGATTCAAGAGTGAAAAATCATGGAAAGCTCAATCTTTTTTATTTATGTAGTTCATGAATAATTTAGTCTCTAAATTAACAAATTAGAGACTAAAATCCAAACTCAAAGAGACATGTAGTTTGACCAAACTCAAGGATGACTTCATTAAATAACTGGATAACGTATTAACATTATACCACTAATCCCTAGAAATTAAATTAAATTGGTCTTCTTGTAACAACTCTGCCTATGCGTTTGTATAGCTGGTCCCAAGCCCGGGAAAAAGAGGAAGGTTGTGGTAGGTTGACGGCCAGCGTAAAAATAAGTCACTCTTATGGATTTCACTCACATAGAATCTGTTGGGGCGTTCTCTACATGCGACGCGCTATGCCGGGCCCCGGATATAGTGTTAAATAGGCAAGGGGGGTCTTTGCACATTCATGGATGGGTGTGGGGGGTAAAACGAGCCTATGCGCCATGTTGGGCCCCGGATATGGTGAAAAATATGCAAAGGGGATCCTTGCACATTCATGGACGTGTGCAAGGGGCAGAGCTAGCCCATGATAGGAAAATTCATTTAGGTAGTTGGAATGTTGATTCTTTAACTGGAAAATCTATGGAGTTAGTAGATGTTATGATAAGAAGAAGAATTAATATTTTATGCTTACAGGAAATGAAGTGGATAAGAGAGAAAGTAAAGGAGATTGGAAATTTAGGACACAAGTTATGGTATATAGGTTGGGAAAGGAATTGCAATGGAGTTGGTATTCTAGTGGACAAAACTGTGAAGGATGACGTAGTTGAGATTAAGCGAATAGGGGATAGAATTATTTTGCTCAAATTGGTTCTAGGAAATAAGTCCATCTATGTAATTAGTGCTTACGCTCCACAAATAGGATTGGATGTGTAAACTAAAGTCAAGTTCTGGGAAGACATAGATGACTTAGTGTGTCGTATAGGCAATGAGGATAGCATTTTCATTGGAGGAGATTTCAATGGGCATATTGGTAAGGATAGGAAAAACTTCGAAAGGATTCATGGTGGTTTTGGTTTTGGATCTCGAAACGAAGAAGGGAAATCTATTTTAGAATTTACGTTGGGACATGATTTAACATGATTTTATCATAACAAACACATTTTTCAAGAAAAGAGATTCTCACTTGATAACTTTTAAGAATGGAAGGAACTTAAGCCAGATAGATTATTTTCTCACTAGGTATAGAGATCGTTCTTTATGTAAGAATTGTTAAGTAATTTCTGGAGAATTACTAGCCACCCAACATAGGTTAGTGATCTTAGATGTGAGCATTAAGCTTTGCAATAAAAGGATTAAGATAAACCACCTCCCACGAACTCGTTGGTGGCATTTGAAGGGAATAAAGCAATTGGCCTTTAAAGAGAAGTTGTTAGATGAGGCTACTTGGTCATATGTAGGTGATGTAAATAGTATGTAGGATGCCATAGCCAGCTGCCTTAGAAAAGTGGCAAAGGAGGTACTAGGGGAATCTAGAGGTAAAGGCCCCCATGGGAAAGAAACCTGGTAGTGGAGTGAGGAAGTTCAAAAGGCTATTAGGACCAAGAGGGATTTATATAGAGATTTACCAAAGCGTAAGGATGTTAAAACTTTTAATAAGTACAAAAAAGCGAAGAAAGAAGCTAAGCGAGCAATTGGTAAGGCTCGTTCTACTTACATATATGAGGTATATAGGAAACTTGAGACTAGAGAAGGAGAGAAGGATATATATAAACTAGCTAAGATAAGAAAAAGGAAGTGTCATGACCTAAATCAAGTGAGGTGTGTTAAGGATGATACGGATCAAGTTCTGACAAGAGATAAAGACATTAAGGAAAGGTGGAGGAGTTACTTTGAGAAGCTTTATAATGATGATCATGCGATAGAGTTTGACAATCTTAGGTCACAAGGAGAACCTAATGTGATGTATACAAGAGAAATCAGAGTCTCAGAAGTTAAAACTGCACTACGGAAGATGAAAAAGGGGAAGGCATGTGGGCTAGATGATATTCCAATAGAGGTTTGGATGGTGTTAGGAGATGTTGGAATTGTGTGGCTCACTAAGCTTTTAATGAGATACTAAAGAAGAAGCATATGCCTGATGCATGGAGGAAAAATATTCTTGTCCCCATCTTCAAGAATAAAGGAGATGTGATGAATTGTAACAATTATAAAGGCATAAAGTTAATATGCCACATTATGAAACTTTAGGAGAGAGTTATCGAAAGGAGATTAAGGGCCAGAACTACTCTCAATTATAGGGGCATAAAGTTAATATGTCATACTATGAAACTTTGGGAGAGAGTTATCGAAAGGGGATTAAGGGCCACAACTACCATCTCAAGTAACCAATTTGGCTTCATGCTAGGCAGATCAACCACGGAAATCATTTTTCTTCTTAGGATGCTGATGGAAAGGTACAAAGAAGCCAAGACGGACCTACATATGGTCTTTATAGTTTTAGAAAAGGCATATGATAGGGTGCCGAGTGAAGTTTTATGGTGGGTACTAAAAACGAGAGGAGTGCATACGAGGTATATTAAGGTAATTAAGGACATGTATGATGGGATGGTCACGAGTGTGAGAACTGCTGGAGGCTACATGACAGAGTTCCCCATTCGGATCAGCCTTCATCAAGGATCTGCTCTTAGTCCTTATTTTTTCACCATCGTGATGGATGAGCTGACAAGAGAAATCCAATATAGCGTTCCTTGGTGTATGCTTTTTGCAGATGATATAGTTTTAGTTGATGAACATAAGGAAGGAGTTAACCATAAGTTAGAACTGTGGAGACAGACTCTTGAGACGAAGGGATTTAAGTTAAGTAGGATGAAAACTAAATACATGCATTGTAGGTTTAGTAACTCAAGTAATCAGAGTGATGAAATTTCTTTAGATGGTGTGGAGATTGGGGCTTCTAGGAAGTTTAGGTACCTTGGGTCTATAGTACAGTACGAAAGAGATATAGAAGAGGATATTCAACATAGGATTAAGGCATGGTGGGTTAAGTGGAAGAATGCTACGGGAGTTTTATGTGACGGAAAGATGCCTATTAAGTTGAAAGGAAAGTTCTATAGGACTGTAATCCGCCCAGCTATGTTATATGGTAGTGAATGTTGGGCCATTAAGAGACAACATATATCTAAGATGAGTGTGGCAAAAATGCGTATGTTAAGATGGATGAATGGCCATACGAGAATAGATCGCATAAGGAATGGAGTTATTCATAGTAAAATAGGTGTAGCACCAATAGAAGATAAGGTGCTCGAAGGCCGCTTGAGGTGGTTCGGGCATGTCCAACGTAGACCGCTAGAAGCACCAGTTCGTGCTTGGGAGGACATTCTTATACCTAATACTAGGAGAGGGAGGGGTAGACCAAAAATTATGTGGACTGAAGTCGTTAGGAAAGACATTTTAGATCTAGGCCTTCAGGAAAGTATAATTTCGAACAGAGCCCTGTGAAAAAGTGAAATCCATATAACCGACCCCAATTAAGTTAGGATTAAGGCTTGTTGTTGTTGTTGCTGTGGTGGTCTTCTTGTAACTGATTTTATTTTTCCATTTATTCCCATGCATTGTTGACGGTGTGAATAATATTCATTGACTTCTCTTAACGTTGTGTATATAATCTATATCTGCAGGAACAAGTTTTTTTATTGTGGGAGAGATTATGTGGTTCTTTGCTGAAAATCTTTGGTTTCAAGTGGGGTCCTTTGTAAGTTGTTCTCCTGGTATGGTTAGACAGATCATGATATATGTATGCCTCAATCATAACCAACTTTCCAATATGTATGAGTTGGAAGACAAAGCCATGTGAAGTTTCAAATCCTTATGTCTCTTCCAAATTGAATATCTACCCAATTGCCTCCACAACCACTTCTTTCAAAGCTTTAGATGATTTCGAAAAGACCCATTCATTTATATAAAAGGGCACATAACCATACCTCTGCATCAAGTAATCACATTCTCTACTCGCAAAAGTTATTTGAGAATTCTAGTCTCTCAACTCCCTCTAAAGCAAAAACATAGGTAAATCAACATGGCATTTGGACTGCGTGGTATTGTTAAGGGTAAGAAAGCTCTTCGCCGGACACTTTCTGGACTTAAAGAAGCAACACTGAAGTCTACAACTGTCCCAAAAGGCTACTTTGTGGTGTATGTTGGAGAGAACGAGAAGAAGCGCTACGTAGTACCTGTGTCCTACCTTAATGAGCTTGCATTTCAAGAGTTGCTTAGCATGGCAGAGGAAGAGTTCGGGTATGAGCATCCGATAGGTGGACTCACAATTCCCTGCAGAGAAGACATCTTCGTTGATCTGACTTCTCGATTTTGAATAGATTCTAATTTGTACCACTAACAAGGACCAAGAGAGACAATTTTGTAGATTATGCACTTCAAATCGTTTACCTACTGGAGAAAGTTGTAAACTAGAATTTGCTAATTTGATTCTACATCTTCACCTGATATTCAACTTGTCAGATCCTAAGATTATTGTCTTTTGGCTTCATTTGCTATTTGATTTCCCTTGCTACAATCTTCTATTAATCAATTAACGTCTTTGTTCATGGAAACACCAATGGCCATTATTTAGTGACTACTGAGAATCAAATTTTCTGTCTAGTTTTAATTACTATTCTATATAATGTTTAACCAATCAGATTATGTGACATAATGTGATTGATCATTAGACATTGTTTTAGAAATTACAAATTAAACCAGGGTTCTTAATCCCTAAATATCTCAAGAATGAGCAACAGAGATCTTGAAATCAATTGTATTATTAGTGGAAGTCAGTTGGGAAACCTCCTTTATTAAGCTTCACTACTGCCCAATGAGAACTCCCAGGACTAAGGATGAAAATATTAATATCGGTAGAAATATCGGTACTCCAATTTTATGAAAATACCAAAATGATCAAACGCTTGTCAGATCACGCACTACAATTTCTCTGATTCAGCTAAAATTCTGGCCGAATTACGCGATCCAATGATATATAGATACACTAGTTTTTTTTTTTTTTTTTAAAAAAGAAACTGGAAAACTTAATTGAAATTTAAAGGGAAAAGGAAAGAATACAAGGGCAAGAGGAAGAGGTTTCCTCAAAAAGTAAGCCAAGAAAAAACAAAACCAAACAACAAAAAGTACGAAGCTATAAAAAAGGTGTCCAATTCCTAACAAAATCTGAAAAATTCGCCGACCGAACTCTTTATCTCTATAAACTCATAACAATACCCAATATTTCATTTTATACCATCCAACAAGACTATTTCCCCACAATTTTCATAAACTCTGATTCCTCTCAAACCAAATACCCCAAAAAATAGCTAAAATAGTAATCCTCCATCAAATTTTGTCCCTACAACTGCGACTAGATGGTGGACAGAACCTGAACAACTCTGCACAGCTTCTAGGAATTGCCCAAAGCAGTCCAAATTCCTTCAAAAGAAGAGACCAAATATGGTGAGAAAAAGAACAATGCACAAAGAAATGATTCGCTGACTCTCATCCTTTTTGCACATCACACACCAGCCAGGAGACAATGAAATGAAAGGGCTTCGCCGCTGCAACAAATCATGAGGGTTGATCAAGAAGCCAGGAAGAAGCCCACGTGCTTTACACGTGCGAGTAAAAGGGAATAAAGAAAGAGGAGAAACGAAAGAACCAATTCCCAACAAGATAATTATGGAAATGACCGAAATTTACATTAGGACACATTTTTGAGAATTTTTGATAGCATCAACATTAAAAGATACATAAATAAACAAGTTTTATATAAAAATTTCATACATATTACATTTTTTATTACCAAAAGAAAGTTTTATGAGCAGCAAACATGGTTAAGATCCCATATTGATTCAAACAATATTGGTATTATGACAAGTTATTTAAATAATGTCGAATGTAGTTATTAACGTGTTACATGAAGGTTTGTTGATCCCATCCTGCTGCATTTTAATGAATTAGAAACTGTGAATTCTCCTAATCGTTTGTCTGAGATGGTGGTGGTATGTTATGATCAGGATAATTAAAAATTTCATATCTATCATAGTTTCTAAAATTATGATTATATGAATAATGAACGTTAAGAGTCTCGTTGGAATAGCTGCAATAATTGGAACCCAAATTTATCGATTGTAAACTCGATATTTGCATTCTTGATATTCCTCACTCTCCTTGTAAGATGACAAAAGAAATAATGCAAAAAAATATATATTATAAAGCAAATTTAAAAAGAAAAAACAAAAAAAAAAACCTTTAAAATTTTCGTTTCCGAAATCACCTTAATTACCCTGATATCTTATACCAATTACTCTATATGCAAACTGATATCGACATTTTGACCAATATTTACTTATATTTCTAATATTTTCTCAATATTTTACCGATATCGATATTATAGTGGAAAAAATTTTCGGACCCTCAAAAATCTGAAATTTAAATCGAAATTTTAGAAATTTCCACAAAATTTTCGTCCATACCCAGGACCAAAACAAGTAATATGTCCCAAAGCCTTTAATAACAAAATCCTTTCATAATAATGAAAAAGATAAGCGACCAAAATAAGTACGTAAAAACAAGACGATGTCATAAAAGAGGAAAGAAAGAACCTGCAAAGAACCAGTTGCTCATAATATATTTTTAATCCATTGAGATTGAGAAAAAAAAATTTCCTTATTAATTATTTGATGAAATTTTTTCCCTCGTACACTTTATTAAACCCCCAATTCTCCAATGCAACATTATCACATGCACCATTCTACCATCACTTGCAGTAACCCTAAAAGACAATCTTTGGCCTCGTAATCTTTCCCATGTCTGCCAATTTTGTTCCCAATTTCTTGTCATTTGTATCCACTTACTATCTTAATTGGAACCCTTAAATAGGTGTGTAAAAAGTAAAATAAGGGGTGTTAATAGACGCACATTTTGCAAAGATAACATGTTTATTGCAAAAATTTTTAGACACGGCAAAAGTCAATCGAGGGGAATATATAGGGTTGAATGGGTGACATACCTTATAATCTAATTATCTCCTTGACTTTTTTTATGACACGTTATTAGGTGGTATTTTTAAAGCCATTATTTGATGTGTTATTACATGGAACCGGAAAGTAACAAAATTAGGAAGTAGGCTTTCTGGTGGGATAGAAAAATAATTGTAAGGAAGGGATAATGATTTTGTAGAGTTTGAAGGATTTGCTTTATGGTAGTTTCCTTTTGCTAGGGATCATAAATTATTATGGGAGACACAATACGTCTATATATATATATATATTGCAAATATTTAGTGATTAAGAAAGAAAGAAAGAAAGAAAGAAAGAAAGAATTAATTAAGAAGAAGATCATTTGACTCACAAATTCCCCATTTAAAAAACAGTGAATATTTACCATACGGGAAGTTTCTAAATTAAAACCATTAGACTTTGTTTTTAGTAATTGAAATGAATTAATTGCTAGCAATGGGAAACCCTACGAAACCAATATATATACATCTTGTGTTCATCATCTTTTGTGTCCCCCCCATAGCTGTTAACTAATGTCTCTTAATTGTGCGAAGGAATGGAGAATTGTTTTTGTTTTGGTGAGGGTAAAGAAAAGAAGATTTCGGAAATAAAAAAGACAGAAAAAGGGGAAAGTTCCAAGGGAAAGATAAAGAGTAAAAATGATGAAAATGAATTCCCTGCCGGATCGACGCATACGAGAGATGATAGAAGAGGTAATATCAAGTTATATAAATTGTGTGTGTATAATATGTTTGCTTAGAGACTTTAGTTTTGCTCGTTCAGAATTTAACCGGTTTTTAGAATGTATAATATAGTGATTAGTGCATGAAAATGCATGCTTTTGATTTATATAATATTAAAATATTTAAGCTTTAATTAAACAATTCCACTATTTTTATTCATAATATTTTTAATTGGAATTTGTCTAGTTTTTGCTTAATTATTTACAGATAAAAAGCAATGTAAAAAGCTACACAAAAATAAGCCATGAAAGCCATGTTTTCAACCACTCAGAGCCAAGCCTTTCAGCCGAGCCGTACAAGCCGATCAGAGAGAGGGAGAGCCGCGCCGAGCTAGCTGAGCCGGCCAAGTTGCATCAGCACCGTGGGTCCCACCGCCCAGCTTTCCCACGTTTTCACACTTTTCCTCGCGTGCATCACCCGCACCGCCTGGCCATTAGAGCGCGTCCCATTCACGTGCGATCATTAGCGCGTCCATCCCGTTCTCGCGTGGGTCCTGCGCTGCTCAAGCCAGCCAGCGTTTCTCCTCTGCGCACGACAACTGTCTCCCTCACTGCCCAGCGCCAGCTCCTTCCGCCCACTCCGCGCGTGACACGTGGCAGATATGTTCCTTTCCTCCAACCAAGCTTCGACACGTGCCCCTTTTGTGCTAAATCTGAATTTTTTCCCCAAAAATCAAAACAAATTATCAGATTTCTTCCTCAAATCAAATATATGATTTCTCCTAATTTATGTGTAATTTTATTTTGTTTCCTTTTCTTTTGTAATTTTCTATTTTTATTATTTATTTCCTTATTTGATAGGTAACCTCTGAACACTATAAATAGAGGGGTTAGCCTAAGGTTTTTGTAAGTTTTGAATATTCAGTTTTCTGTCGTCTTGCTGTCAGTCTCATATTTTCTTTCTAGAACTTGTGAGAATGTTTTGCAAGTTAGGCTAGAGTTCTCTTGGTGAGGTTAGAAATGAACTTCTCTTGAGTGACCCAATTTAGGGTTTTGATTCCTTGTGCTGTAAAGTTCAATATCTGAATGAATTAAATCTTATCTATTTTTCTATTACTTTTTAAAATATTGTGTGCCAATTTTTATATAAGTTCAGTCACGCTTTTCTTATGTAATTCTGTCATGCATTGTTTTGTTATTCAAATTATTTTGTAAATTGTCTTTTATTGCAATATTGTCAAATTGATATATTGTCGATTTTAGATAACTTGTAATAATAATATTTCCGGAGTCAACATAGAGATTTAATTTATTCGAGTCGTTTATTTTGTGAATCAAAACTTGAATTAGTGAACGAAACATTAGGGATTCTCGACACCTTACCATTTTTACTATTGAATTTTCTTCATACAAATTTCCTCCTTTCTATTTTATTTGCAACAAAATCTCAAAAACTCTTCTTTTTCTTTAATTCACTTTTCTCTAACGCTCTTATTCTGTTAGTCATTCTTGTTATTTTGTTATCTCTCTGTGGATACGACCACCATTCTGTGCTACAATTGACCGCTTGTGAACATCACTTTTAGACGTTAATCAAATTTTAGCGCCGTTACCGGGGAGGTGCTACTAACAAGACTGATCAGTAGATTTTTGAGCCAAAGAGGTAAGTGCATTTTTATTTATTTATTTTACACAGTTTCTGTTTCTTAATTTATGTGATCTGTTTTTTTTAGCCCGTATTAAAAAAAAAAAAAACTTTTGCTGCAAGTTTAAAAAAAAATAGGTTACCGCAAGTTTCCACGTATTCATCTATACGCCCACGTATTCATCAAGTTTTAAAAACTTTTGTTCTTTTTTTGTTCTTTTTTTTATTCCACCGTCCCTTATTCAAAACCAAAAAAAAAAAAGTTACCTTCTTCATTTTTTTTTTATAGTATTTGTTTTAGCTTTCTTTCGTCTGTTTCTGTGTTCACCCCTTGAACATTTGTTACCTTTTTCATTTTTTTTTATTTCCGGAGTTTTATAGTTCAAAAAAAAAAAATCTCACACTTTTAGGATTTGTTTTTATTGATAATTTTATTTTTCCCTTTTAGTTTTGAAATTGATTGTGATTTGATTTTGTAATCTTTTATTATTTTTTTTATAAATTAGAATTTTATTTTGTTTCCTCATTTGTATATTTTATATTGTTGCCTAATTTAATTTTTCCTTTTATAGTTTCATTAATTCTTAGGATTATAAGTAGGATTGTAATTAATTGACTATTCTTAATCTAGGAATTTCATAATTTGGTAGATTTAGGCTTTTGACTTTAGGAATAGTTTCCATTAATTAGATTACATTTCATAATTTACTCAATAAAATTTAATAATTGATTTTGAGAATAATTGTGTGGTTACGTGAAAAGTATAATCTGAGGGAGTTATGTCTAGGAAAGTTGGTACTTAAGTGGGCCTCACACCACCAATCTTTCCTGAGAACGTTGCTTTATCTAGGAGACTATTCATTGAGCCAAGAGCTATAGTCTTTCCTGGGAGCACTCTCGGCGGTTACGATTTACGTTGCTATATAATTATTTTCTTTTGTTTTGATTAAAAATTAACACAAAAAAAAATTAAAAAAAACTAAAAATTAAAAAAACCGCTTTGGGTGAATGCATCGGTATAGAGATGAGCTAGGGAGATTCGCTCAACGTCCAGACCTAGAAACCCCTAGTGAAATTCTATCCGACTTGTCTTCTACGCCTCCGTCTTCACACTCATCGTTGGAATTCGCATTTGAAAATCTATTCGCAATGGCACAACACGAGGAAGTTTAGCAGAGGACGTTGCAAGATTACCTGCACCCAACGCGTACGGCCACCCCATCTTGCATCATGTTCCCACCGAATGCACCACTTACGGATTTCAAGCCGGATATGATTGCACTTCTCCCAACCTTTCATGGGTTAGAGAACGAGAACCCCTATGTACACATCCGGGAGTTTGAAGAGGTGGTGGCCACCTTTCACAGCCGTGCTGAGGCTGCAAACACCGTTAGATTGAAGTTTTTCCCTTTCTCTCTGAAGGACAAGACCAAAAGCTGGCTGTATTCTCTTAGGCCCAAGTCTATTGGTACGTGGGAAGAAATGATGACGACATTTTTCAACAAGTATTTCCCACACCATAAGACTAATAATTTGAAACGACAGATCTCGAATTTCACTCAGAAAGAAAATGAAACTCTCTATCAAGCTTGGGAGCGTTTTAAGGATCTGTTAAATCTATGTCCCCACCATGGATATGAAAGTTGGCGCCTCGTAAGCTATTTCTGCGATGGACTCACAATCTGAGAGCGCCAATTTGTGGAGATGATGTGCAATGGGGATTTTCTCCAAAAGGATCCTGACGAAGCTATCGAGTACCTGAATGAGTTAGCTGAGAAAGCTCATACTTGGACTGGACCGAGTGCTACTGAGAGCACCAGTAGGTCTCGACTAGTTAGAGTTTATCAATTAAGGGAAGAAGACAACCTCAAGGCCCAAGTTGAAGCTTTGACGAAGCAAATCGAAGCCCTTAAAAGTAAAGATAGTAAAGGACCCCACATGGTGGCAAGGAGAGATGCACATGAGCCATGTTTCGTTTGTGGTGGAATGGGCCATCTGGCTCAAGATTGTCTCACTTTTGGTGAAATGAGAGGGGTATACGAGGAGCAGTGCAATGTATTGGGCATATACAATAAGCCTTATGGACCTTTCTCAAACACATATAATGATAGCTGGAAACACCACCTAAACTTCAGTTGGAGAGATCCAACCCAACATGCACAATCATCTGGAGGCCAATAGAAATCAGAGCAACAATCTCAACCACCAAGGGCATATTTTGCGCCTCAGAATAACATCCAGCCAGAAGGGAATTCTCTAGAGGATACCCTAAAAGCTTTTATGGATGCGTAAAATAAGACGAATCAAAGAGTTGATTCAATGCTCACGCAGCTGGTGGAAGAGAACAAGGAAATAAAAAGTCAGATCACAAAGCTGACAGAAGCTTTAACCGTTCAGGAGCGCGGTAGATTTCCATCACAAGCCCAATCCAATTTGAGAGGACAACACATGGCTCAAACTTCCAACAATGAAGGTCAAAATATCAAGGAAGTTAACGCCATCTCTACTCGAAGTGCTATGAATTTTGACACGCCATCAACAAGTACAACCACTTCGAGTAATGAAGAATCGGCTCAGGACAAAGAAGAGCCAACTAAAATTCCGGTAAAGGTGCCTTTTCCCCAAGCTCTCCGACCTGCTGGGAAAGTGCCGAAAAATCAAAGTGAGATCCTGGAGCACTTGACACAATTGAAGAGCGATCTTCCCTTACTACACGTGATCAAGCAAGTGCCGGCCTACGCCAAGGTTATCAAGGATCTGTGCACCATAAAGAGAAAGCACCACGTCAAGAAGACTGCATTCTTGACAAAAGAAGTGAGCGCGGTGATTGAACAGAAAACACCGCCGAAGTATAAGGATCTAGGTTGTCCTACCATTTCTTGCCAGATCGGGACACATGAATTCGACCAAGCATTACTAGACCTAGGATCGAGCGTGAACCTCATGCCTTATTCGGTCTACTCGCAATTGGGTCTTGGAGAGATTAAGCCCACATCTATAGTTCTGCAACTGGCCGGTAGATCCATTAAGAGACCACGGGGAATAGTAGAAGACGTTTTGTTACAAATCGACAAGTTTTATTACCCCATGGACTTTCTTGTCTTGGATACACAATCCGTGGTGAATATGGAGTCATCCATTCCCATCATTCTAGGAAGACCTTTCCTTGCCACAGCAAACGCACTTATCAATTGTAGGAATGGTCTCATGAAGATATCTCTCGGGAATATGACCCTTGAGGTGAATATTTTTCATATTCAAAAGCAACCACGTGATGACAAAAAATGTCACCAAACATTTATGATCGACACACTTGTCGAGGAGGAGGTTCTGCCGCAAAGTAACTCTGAAGATCTTGAAAATCTCCTCCAAAATTCTGAATCTGAGAGTTCCGATCCTTGTGAGGTGGCTACCATTTCTACCATTTTCAAAGAATCACAAGACAGAGGAACCAAGTTTGGGCCACCATGTTTTCAGGAGCTCCCAATAGAAGGAGAAAAACTGAAATCATCCACCGAGGAGGCTCCAAAAGTCAAGCTAGCCCAACCACCTGAGGGCTTAAAAGATGCATTCTTGGGAGATGAAGACACATTCCCAGTCATCATCTCATCTAAAATCGATCCATTGCAAGAACAACGATTGATTGACATACTGAAAGAGCGCAATTCTAGGATTAAGGTAAAAATGAAAGCGGCTCATGATAAGCAGATCCTAAGGAAGAATTTCGAGCCGAATCAACGGGTTCATCTCTATGATTCCTGTTTGCATCTCCACCCCGGTAAGTTGAGGTCGCGGTGGACTGGCCCGTTCATAGTAAAACGCATTTTTCCCAATGGTGCTGTCGAGGTTGAGGACCCGACTGATGGGAGAATCCTCAAAGTAAATGGCCAGCGTCTGAAAAATTACTTAGAGCAGGTGAACCAGGTTGAAGAGATCATTCTCGACGACCCCGTTTACCAGCCCTGAGTAGTTTGCTCACATCTCCTGTATCATATTTTCATTTTCTATTTTCTTCGTTTCTTTTTACATTTTTTATGTGTGTTTTTGGAGAATCATATCAGGAAGCTCAAGTTGTGCTTATATGTGGAATGCTCATCATCCAGGTGTCTTCTTTCTCTATATTTCCATAATTTTTGACATTGAGGACACTGTCTGATTTTGGTTGGGGGTGGTGAGCATATTCATGCGTAAGAGTGATTTTTGTCATGTCGATATTTGGGTGAAAATTTTTGTGAAGTTATCTGAGTATGATTCAAAATGTTTGGTTTGGGTCAATTTTCGTTGTCTCGGTTACTAAGAAATGACTTCCAGAGTTTCTTTTTACACGTGCTAAACCTTGTGGTAAGATGGATGTTAATGCATGTCAGCTGAGAAAATTCCCAAGTTTAAGTGCTTGATTTTTGTGAGTTAAGAGAGTTGAGAAAACGACTTTTGAACCTTCATTGATCTTTTGAGCTGGTAAAATCACTATTAGAACATCATTACATGGTTAGTGGTATGCTTGGTGCATATGCTTGAGGGATGGATTTTGGGTTAGATAGGAATGATCTTATGTAATAGAGCCTCATTTGTTATTTAAAAAAAAAAAAAAAAAACAATAGAGATAAATAAATGAAGAAAATTATTCCTCCTAAAAAAATAAATTTCTTTTTTTTTTAAGAAATTATCAAAGATATTAATAATTTTTTGTTCATAATTGATACCTGTTGAGTTCTCAAAATCGTTACGTACAAATTTATGTTATTTCAAGGAGATTTTTTTTATACAAGAAGACATTGAACTCGTAACCCTCTACCTAAACCTTCCAGTGCAACCCGGAAAAGAGGACTTAGGCTTTTTAAGGGGATTTATGTCTATTTTCTTTTGACTTCAGTAATTTGTTGGTCGATATTTTAAATACTGAATAAAATTATTTTAATGTTTGACATTTTTTTTAAGGCTGAGTGTGTGATTAGTATTTTTGTAACATATTTTTGTCCTTAAAAATAATTTAATTAATTGATAATTTAGTAATAAAAAATTTTGATTAAAATAGGTGTGTAAAAAGTAGAATGAACGGTGTTAATAGATCACCCATGTGTTACAAAAATAATGTTTATTGCAAAAATTTTTAAACGTGACAAAAGTCAATAGACGGGAACCGGGTTGAATGAGGGACATTCACATACCTTACCATCTACTATGGTGTAAAGATTGGAATTTGGAAATTAAGAATTATTCTAAATATCACATAGATTCCTTCGTTACTACTCCGGAGGAGTTCTTTGGAGGTTTTCGGGATTCTACGGCCATCCGGAGAAGGCTCAGAAACACAATTCTTGGGAATTATTGTGCCGACTAAGGAGTTTATTTACCCACCCTCCCTTGGCTAAGGAGTTTACACAATTCTTGGTGATTTCAATGAGATACTCCGCTTATCTGAGAAGAATTACTGGAGTCTGATGCTATAAATATGGTTCGAGTGATCCATCTGTCAGAGTTAAGATAATTGGTGACATTCGCTTAAGTATTTCTCAAGCTTCTTGTGGTTCAATTTGTTACATTTTCCATTTAGGGAATTTTGTAGCCCACATGTTAGCTGTTTATGTTTTTTTTCTAGTTTATCTGATGTGGTCTGGCTTGACTTTAGCCCTAGATTTGTCAGTTGTTTTGTTCTCGTTGATTTAGCATCTGGTAATTAATAAAACAAGCCTTTTTCCTTTTATAAAAAAAAACCTATCGTTGACTTTTTTAAATGACACGTTAATAGGTGGAATTTTGAAAGCCACTCTTTGATGTGTTATTACATGGAACTGGAAGAAGGAATAATGATTTTGTAGTGTTTGAAGGATTTGCTTTATGGCAGTTTCCCTTTGCTAGGGATCGTAAATTATTATGGGAGACATCGCTTTTGTACGTCTATATATTGAAAATATATAGTGAATCTGAAAAAGAAAAGGAAGGAAAGAATAAATTAATTAATAAAAAGTCATTTGACTCACAAATTACCTATTTAAAAAACAGTGATTATTTACCATACGGGAAGTTTCTAAATTAAAACCATTAGACTTTGTTTTTTAGTAATTGAAATGAATTAATTGCTAGCAACGGGAAACCCTAAGAAAGCATTATATATACATCTTGTGTTCATCATCTTTTGTGTCCGCCCATAGCTGTTAACTAATTTCTCTTAATTGTGCGAAGGAATGGAGAATTGTTTTTGCTTTGGTGAGGGTAAAGGAAAGAAGATTTCGGAAACAAAAAAGACAGAAAAAGGGGAAAGTTCTAAGGGCAAGGGTAAAGATGATGAAAGAGAATTCCCGCCGGATCGACACATACGAGAGATGATAGAGGAGGTAATATCAAGTCATGCATATAGATTGTGTGTGTATAATATGTTCGCTTAAAGACTTTAGTTTTGCTCATTCAGTTTAACCGATTTTTAAATTGTATAATATAGTATTATTAGTTAATTTTGGGATTAATTTTTTAAGTTGCATGTCTTTTAAAATTTTCAAACACACGTATGTTTTTTAGAATGTATAATATATTATTAGTAGTTAATTTTTTGATTAATTTTCTAATGTAAGTTCTCCTTTTCTTTTTTTTTTTTTAAATAAAAGATGGAATTGAATTTACTCTTAGAAAAAAGGAATCCAGATATAATCACGCATAAATAAGTTGTTTTAGGAGGAATAGTTTTCTTCATGTATTTATCTCTTTTTTCATTTTCACTTTATTTTGTTCAAAAGAAAAAATTATTTATACATATTTACCTCATATGTTTTCCACAGATTGATAAAATCAACGGGAAAGCGGGGAACGGATCCAAATGATCAACAACTGAAGTCACATTTTTGAGCGACCGGCCCTTTATAAGCAGCATAATTCTTTATATTATTGCTCTTTAATTTTTCCTTTCAGAAGCTACTTCTCTTTGTTAATTTATAGTTTCGTAATTCATAATGTAGTAGTTTTATGCTATTAATTAAGTGCCGAGTTAGCACTTATTCAATATGGAGACTTAAGAGTGTTTTGGATTTCGACTTTTTACTTTTTATTTTTAGTACTATATGATAATTATTTTTACTTTTTATTTTTACTTAAGAGTGCTAGGGATCTTTTTATTTTTACTTTTTACTTTTCTTAATGTAGTAGTGTTAATATATGATAATTATTTATTAATTTTGAATTTCTAATCAGGTTTGTTTAAGAAAAAATCTAAATATTTCATCAATAATAACTACAAACAAAGTATGGAATTATTTTAAAATAGAGAAAATAATGAATTGATGTTTAAACTGTAATTTATTTAATCATATGGCGTGGTAATTTTATGCACACAAGATTTAAAATAAATATTCTATATTAATTAGAGTGATATGTGAGAAAATAAAAGAGAAGATTTTAAAAGAGAAACCAATTTCAGAATCCCGATGAAAGAAAGAAACAAAAAAAATGATAATAGAATTTATGACAATCTTATTGAGTTCTATTCACCAAATTAATATTTTTAAAATTTTAAGTGATATGAAAAGAATAAAAAAAGAAACACATAAGAACAAAATAGGGAGATCATATTTTTGAATAACAAAAAGATAACTCTCATTTATGTATATAGTTCAAAAAAGTAATTAAAAGGAAATGTCATTCATATATAGCGAAAAAATCAATTACTCCATAAACTATAAACTAAATCCAAAATCTAAAACAAAACCACAAACCATAACAAAAATACCAAAATCAATTAACCGAATAGCAAAATATTAACTCACAAAATCCAAACCCACAAACACCGGGGGTTGAAGAATGGTAAGGCAGCAAAATGGGAGGGTGACGGCGGCCAGAATAAGGGGCGTCAACGGCGAGGAAAAACTCCATTTTTTGGTTTTTTTCACAATATTTTTTGGTACAAATGAAGGATTTGGAGAGAGAATGAAGTATTTAAGCTTTTTTCAGAGGGTATGTGGCGATTTTGGACAGAGAGGAAGGAAGAAAATGCGAGAGCTCACCAGAAAAAATGGCAGAAGGAAGTTTGCGATTGTGCTTATATATGCCATTTTTTGCGACGACATATTGTCGTCACAAAAGAAAAATTAAATTGTTGTCACATTTGTAAGAAAAACGACGCCGTTTTTCTTCACCTTATTAATATTTTTGAGAATATTCTTGAGGAATATACTCGCGCTCATTTTTTGTGACGACTTTGTTAAGATGTCGTCACAAATAAGTTTAAGGAAACCACCAAAGTTTCCGCCATTTTTTTGAGGAAAATTAATTTCCCACTTATTTGCAACGACATTATTAAAAATGTCGTCGCAAAAAATAGTCATGCTTGATAGAATTTTCTGGAACCCTTTTTTGTGAGGCCACGTCTCGTCGCAAAAACAGTCGTTCTTAAAAGAATTTTCTGGAACCATTTTTTACGACGACTTTTCAATATGTCATCGCAAAAAATAAACACTATCTGGAACCTTTAGTGGGAAACCGCTAAATTTTCCGCCTCTTTTTGGCCACCTCACTGCCAGCTGTACGTATCCATATTTACGACGACATGTCGTCGCAAATAATGGACAAAGTGGCGCCAAAATTGTTGGCGCCAGATTGATTTTGGCACCGTTAACTATTAGCGACGACATGTCATTGCGAATAATTTGCCACATGTTAGCGACGACATGTCGTCACGAATATTGAAATTTTATGCAACGACATGTCCTCGCTAATAGTGAATGCGACGGCAAGTCGTTCAAAAAATTTGATTTCTTTTTGGCGACGACATGTCGTCGCTAATATTGTAATTTTAGCAACGATGTTTGTTGTCGCTAATAACCCTTTTTGTTGTAGTATATTTAGGGGAATGTATGGTTACGTTTTAAAAATCAAGGGGTAAACTGTGATAATGGTTATAATTTAGTGAGAATTTTTGTATAAATGAATAAATATGTATAAAGGAATTTTTCTTTTGAAAAAAAAAAGTGAAAATGAAA